GTTTAAATTGGCTTTCTCTATGTTTGATCTTGAAAAACTGATTAAAACAGAATTAACAATTTAAAAGATACATATGATATTTTTTATTCATGTGTGTAACTGTACTTATCTCCAGTATTGACAAATGGTGGCCTTGGTATGAATATTAGATTTATTTGAGAATAATTCTCTTTGTTGTGTAATTTTCTGATGGATCTGAAACAAGATCATAAAGTAAATGCAGTTTGTTTGTGTACCAAAGTTCTGCATTCATTTTACATGTGTCGATGCTACAGAACACATAAACGGTAGGGGAACTTCAATATTCTTTCAATAAAATATTGGCAAAGAATCATATGAAATGAATTAGTGTAATTTGGCCCCACATCTAAGTTATATTTGCTAGGGTGGACTCTGGTAATGAAAATTCTATATTAAGTACAGATCAAGGCAAAGTGACAAGAATAAATTGAGGAGTTTGTAACTCTTAGCTACAGATTGAGATATAATGTTTGTCATGTCCATCTTCCATATGTCTATTGCACTTTGTGTTAAGCCTTAGTTTCAAAGAAGCTATTCAACATAAATTTATCAAACTCTATACACTGGTAGATGTAAATGACAGCTATTCAGATGTTTTTTTTGTTGTTGTTTTTTTTTACGTTGACTTTTCCTTTGACCTTACTGTACTTTAATTTGCAATTCACTCAAAGAAACTATTGATTACTTTTTATTGATGCCCATACAATGATGCAAATTGCTGAAATTTATTGAATTTTATCAAAAGTTTCTGACCTTAACAATTGCAGTGGCCCTGACCTCAACACTCCTCAATTTGTAGTTTGCTCAGTTCCTATGAACATTTATGTAGTTAGTAGTATGTCATGTCAATTAAAGTGCACAATCTGAATCAGCCCTATTGATAGAAGCTGCCTGCATACAGTTCATGTTTTAGTAAGTAATTGTGTATATTCAGTGTACTTAACATGCTTAATATGTGAATTATTGTTCTAGTGAAATAGGCACAGATCCCAAAACAAAAATTATGGAAAGACTTGATGAAATGGGCAAAATTTTCTGCAACCATTATGTACAGGTAAGTTATAAATAAGGATCTATTATATTCAGTGGGTATATTAGCCCTCTAGTAACAAGGGCACCTCAAAGAGGAGCAAGGCAGCATTCGACATCGATCCAAATGCAAATTACTTCAATACCGTTTTGAAGATTGCTAATTCACTCACCCACAATAAACCACATAATTTCATTAATATATACCACAAATCTGTTGCGAGGGGATACCAAGGAGATGTAAAGGCTAACTTATTACAGGTCATTTTGAAGACACTAGGGAAAGAAACCTGACTGAATATGAGTGAAAAATATTTATGTATTTGAAGGAAACTGAGGACCATGCAGGTTCACAGATTGAGTTTGCCCAGAAACGGCTACAGTTAGGAGAATGTCTATACTACAAAATGGTGGAAAGTATACTGTTTAATGAGAGAAAGAGGATGGATAACAAAGAAGGCAAAGCAGCCCTAGCGGTAAGTGACTTCAAACTGAATTGGTCTTGAGATTTATAGATGATTATTGAGGTATTAAATGGACTATGCTTATAATGGATTTGTATTTTATTTGTAGACTCTGATGGAGCAAGATATATTTCATAGAACATTGTTTGCTTGCTGTTTAGAAATTGTTATCTTCTCCTACAATTCTCAGAGGTGAGTTATATGTATTGAAAAATCTCTAAAGATATGTTTTGGAAATCTCCATATGCTGGGTCTTATTTAATATTGTACATACAGATATAAATTGTTTTATTTGAAATATTTGAATTTTTCAAACAGAGAGATTATGAAAATTATCTAAGTGCAGTGATAATTGTATGAAATATTACAACTAAAGGCATGTACAATGAAAGTGATGTATTTTTAGGTCCTTTCCTTGGATAGTGGAAATCTTCAACCTCAGTCCTTACCATTTTTACAAAGTGATAGAGATAATTATCAGAACAGAAGAAGGATTATCTCGAGATGTTGTCAAACATCTCAATCATGTAAGTCTGAATTATCTCTCCTGTAAAAGGTCTTGAACAGAGTGAATATAAAGAAAATCATTTGAGTAGATACATTATGACTCAGTAGCTCGGAGATCACTGTCATTAAATGATTTACAAAAAAAAAAACAATAAATCAAAATATTTGTATTCTGCAAGTCCTGATGGAAACATTTGATTGCCAATACATGTATTCTGTTGATTAAAAAATCAATGTTTTTTTGAATAAAATTAAACCAAATAAACTAAAAAAAAAAAAACGTTTTGCATTGTTGTCTGGGTTTTAAGAATAAGAAAATTATAGAGATACAAATACATAATAAGTCATAAATTACAATGCTGGTTATATTCATTTAGATTGAAGAAAGTATTCTAGAGAGCCTGGCTTGGCGGAGTGACTCTCCATTGTGGGATGCCATCAAGGAAAGTAGTGTTCCAGGTTGTGAGGATGTCGTGCTGCCCAACGACCATGATGGGGTGAAAGCCTCACCCGTCAAACATCCGGCGGTCATCAGGGTAACAGAAACTCAGCCACAACAACCAAAGAAAGGTAACATTGTCACAAATGCAACATTTTCTCTATAAGAAAACATATGTTTTCTAAAATATCAGATGTATTCAAATTATTGTCATGACTTTGGGGGAGGGGGTGTGGTGGTTATGAAATGAATAATTCTAACTTGTGGTTTTGTTTATCTTGAATTAATGTTCAGGTAATACTTTCAAGATGTAAAAGTACTTTCCTTTTGAATTCTTAACACCTGCTAACAGTAATCTACATTTTGATTTGGATTATCCACAGATCCCTTGATGTCCCCTCCAGCAGGTGTCTCAGCGGCCGATCGCTTCAGCTCGCCGTCACCAGGGAGTGCCAAAAGACGACTATTCAGTGTCCTGACCCAGCCGCTCGATACACCACTGCCTGTACCATTGTCCTCAGAGAATACTCCCACAGAAAATAACACTAGTTCAGGGACCAAGACCACACAGATTATAGCCTTCCAACAGGCTCAGACAAACGATGGAAGACAGGTACGGGGCAAAAGTCACAGTCCAAGGAGATTGCCAGAGACAATTTACCTAACAGTTTTTTAAAAATTGTCATTTTATTCTATTATATATACTTAAGTGTCATTTTATATATATGAATATCCCCTGATAACTACCTTCTTATAAATATTTTTGAATTGAATTCTGGTGTATAAACTGTAGTGGAAAAAAAATGAGACTTGTTTTCAACATGTTCAGGAACAGGTACATTGAATTAAGGAGCCATTAAAATCAATATGATTTTTTTTTGTCTCAGATTCTCATCCCAGTCCATACAATAATCCATTCAGGAGCAAAAGATGACAAAAAAGACCCTGCTAAAAATAGACCCAAGAAAACAGGCTCATTGGCTCTCTTCTTCAGAAAGGTTTTGTATACAGTAGTTTTGATATGTTTGAAAAACTTAAAATTTATAAATGATTTTATGATTGAAATTTTACTTTGAGGCTTATTTTTGTTTATAAGTTCTTTGTTTATCCTTTTCAGCTATATCATTTGGCTAGTGTGAGATTACGAGATTTATGTGAACAATTATACATTGATGACATTGATCTTAGGAGGAAAATGTGGACTTGTTTTGAGTATGTTCTTGTTAACCATGTGGAGTTGATGATGGATAGACACATTGACCAAATTATTATGTGTGCAATTTATGTAATGGCTAAGGTAAGGAATGATAATGAAAGTGATACTAAAAGTAAGAACACCACAAAAACAAATTCAGTACTATTTTACTAAATTTTACACTAGTATCTTAGGAAGGTTTTACAGGAATTAAAACTCAAAATCTTAAAGTTGAGTCCTTTCATGTTTCTGTGTGTAAATATAATTGGTTGAAAAAAAAAAAAAACGAAATAAATGCATGTAGTTTAAAATTTTGTAATTTGTTCAAATTACTTAACACAGCAGGAAATATCTGTTCAATAGTGAGTTAAGGATTCAAATTTCTATTGCTATGAATAAGATTTATAATTGTTGTAGGTATCAGACCATCCACAGTCTTTCACAGACATCATGCGATGTTACAGACTACAGCCACAAGCTGAAAGTCACGTAAGTCCTGCTGGGAGGAGCATTCCTTATTAGAATCGAGGAGTGAAGAATTTATATTCTTTATATTCTTATCTTTCACTCAATCTTCTCTTTCTTATTTTTGCAGGTTTACAGAAGTGTTCTACTGAAATGTCGCTCTAGAAGGAAATCGGGAGAGAGTGACAGCAGTAAGAATGGCACAAGTGGCCAATCTTCCCCAGTCAACGTAGAGAACACAGATAAAAGTAAGGCATAGAATAGAATTGATGATTAAACATGTCTTATCTTCTACTGAACTGCTATTTCAGAGGTCATATACTTTCTTTTCTCAGAGAGATCAGAAAAATTGTCAACAATGAGATCAACAAGTACGCTCCCCACCCCTCACCCCGGGAGCCACCCCCCTACCCCCACCATTCTGATTCAGTCTGCTAGTGGGGGTGAGGAAGGAGAGGAGAGGGGTGATCTCATCATGTTCTACAATAGGGTAACTTATTTTTCAAAGCATGTTGATTTTGAGGAAATGTTTTCTGGGAATGAAACAATTTTTAGCTTTACATCATTTCTTGTAGGTTTTCGTAGAGAAAGTTAAAAAGTTTGCACAGAAGTTTTCTGCTCAAAAGAATTCTAAGGTAAGTATTATTTGAAACTAAGTGTCTTTGAATAGAAAGTTTGCTGTATATCTATAAAAACAATGTTCCTGAGATGATGACTTGGCTTCCATTTAGGAACAAAATTACATGTATATTCAGAAATTGACATTCCTGTAAAGTAATATGTATGGAGTGCCAAATTAAATCAAAGTAAATAAAAGAAGATACATTATAAAATTATTTTGAGATAACTATTCACTTATTATGCACAACCATTGATTTAATTATGATAGGAGTAGGAGGTTGAGTAGTATCCTCTGTGTCACCCAGAAAAGTAGTTGAACACTGCTTGAATATCAAAAGAAGTTGCTTTAAATATTCAAAGCACTGTAATTACCATGGTATGTCACATTCAGGTTTATGTTTTGCGAAAGCTGTTTTGCTACATTATTGGTATTGATCCACGTATATTATTACAGGATTGTCCACCTCTGTCACCTTTACCAGTGGTCAAAAGTCAGTCAGCCTCTCCTAGGCGAGTGTCCAGTAAACACCCTATTTATCTCTCTCCGCACAAACCAACCTTACATGCAACACCCATGGCAACTGGATTGTCTTACTCTTTTCAAAAGAGTCCTGCAAAGGTACATGTAAATTAAATACATGTATATAGTTTTTGGTACCAAAATAAGTCGTATTTAGCAAGGAAAAGTATGGAAACTGAAAATGTCTTTTAAAATATATAATCCATTCCTGTTTTGATAGGATTTAAGGGCCATTAACAACATGATAAAAATGAAAGACTTTAGGGAGGGTAAGAAGATTCTGGGTAAACGTCAACTGGATGTCACCATGGAAGAGGAGGATGCTCCACAGACCAAACAGCTGTGTACATACTCCTTCTTAAAAAGGCTACAGAACGTTAGCAGCGACAGACAGGAAGCCAGCGTCCTGAAACTGGACTAATTCATCTCTTCTTCTGTCATTATTCTGTCATACCGATCTCAAGAATTTTTTTCTGTTAAATTGAATGGATCAATAGAAAAACAAGGACGAGTTCAATATGTATTATTTTAAATGCAATATCCTACGAATGGTAGTCCCAGGAATATTCATGCAAAATGTAGATTAAGTCCTTGTTTGGTAATTTTCAGTGTGCAATCTTCAGTAAAACTCATTTAGATAAAACAAACATTGAATTAACTCATCTTATTTTGATCAATTGTCCATTATGTGTACAATTCATTGTAAATCACACAATGTGCAGATATGTATAGTAGATGTAAGAACAGTTTACATAGGAATGGAATTCTCTTTGGAATTGTGCTGATCAATTTTGCTGTATTTTTGTACAGTGTGTAAATATGTGTACAGTATCATTTTGTATAGTCAGGGATTTTTTTTTTTATAAACAATATGAAAATGAATTTCCTTTGGAAGTATTTTATTTGTAAACGTCATATTTATCCAATTTTTAGCATTTTATAAAATGCATAAATGCCATTTTAATTTTGAGAATTTGTGGAAAAACTTTGTCAAATCATGTTTTTCTTACTAGTATACATTTTTTTAAAGATGTCTTGATTCATTTCAGTCCTATCTGTGTATACTTACAGAATGTTCATGTGCATGTATGTATGTCAGAGAAGGTGATAAATCCCTGTAACTGATTATTTTTGGCAATTTCTTTTCCTCAACATTTCATTGTAGAATTCTAATTTGAATCTTACAAAAACTATCTCTTTTCTACAAAGCAATTGCAGATTTCATTTTCTTAGAATAATTGTTTTTAAAATGTGTAAAAGTTCTATAACGTAGTCTTTTGTTCTGAGAATATGCCAATGAAATGTCTCCATCTTTCTGTCCATATCGGTGAAAAATTTGATAGGTTTTACTGTGGAATCTCGGGGAGTGAAAGTTTTGTGTTTCCTCAACACATCTTGTTTTGAAATAATATTTATATGGTGCTCTTTGTTGAATATATATTGTCAAATTAATATTACATAAAATTTTTAAAAAATATTTGCATATTAATTTAAGGTCAATAAATTGTTAAATTTAGTGCAACCTTTTCTTTAACTATGAATATTTGAAGAAAAAAATTGTTATGAATGGAATCACAATATGAAAAATGTCATAGTAAATAAAATATACAAAGATTTTTTTCTTCATTGATTTGTTGTCAGTCCCCAACTGGTAAAACTGGAGGGTATTAATTTAGATTTAGTATCTGCTCCTGTCAGTGGGTTTATTTCACTTGGTTTTCCGGACTTTTCTTTTATATAGGCCAAATTTTGGTATACTAGTTTAATTTTTAACTGTTTAAAAGTTACTTAATGTCAGAGTCAAAATCATCTGTTTCTTTTAAGATGTCTGTTTGGTAATGCAATGATTTATAAAAATTATGAGTATAGTTCAAATGAAGGGCCACACGTTTTCCAAGGGGAGATAAGTAAGGAAAATAAAATTTATATGAAAGCTTCTTGACTTAATGTAGATTAAGTTTTTTCACATCAGTTCCCCATGGTCCATTGTTTACAATAGGGGATCAAGTTTTATCAAAGAATTTAGGAAAATATGTTTAAAAAAATTTTTGAAGAACAGCAAAGCTGTGATAATTGATACATCCTCGGAGGGTTTTTGATTCAGGTTTGTTCTAATCATGACCTTTTGGGGTAGGGGGGGGGGCAGAATAGGGGTTTGAAGTTTTACATAAGAAAATGGAGCAAAAATCTCTCAAGAACAGAAAAAGCCATGTTTAGTCATATTGACATGTAAGTAATCTCATGTAATGATGATTCAAATTTGTTCAAATCATGACCCTGGGGGTAGGGAGGAGCCACAATGGAGGATAAGATTTTTAAGCTCAACTGAGCTGAAAGCTCAAGTTTTTCGGATCACCTGTTGTCAGTCCATCTGTAAATTTTTCACATTTTCAACTTCTTCTCAAGAATCACTATGCCAGTTTTAACCAAACTTGGTACAAAGTATGCTTGGGTGAAGGGAAATCTAAATTGTAAAAATAAAGGGCAAAATTCCCTTCCAAGGGGAGGTAATCAAAAAATACAAAAATAGGGTAGGGTCATTAAAAAATATTCTGAAGAACCACTGGGCCAGAAAAGCTGAAACTTAAATGGAAGCATTTTTGGGTAGTGTAGATTCTAAATCAATTGTTCAAATCATGACCACAGGGGGTAGGGTGGGGCCACAATAGGGAATCCACGTTTGACATAGTAATATATATGAAAAAAATTTAAAAATCTTCTTTTCAAAAACCACTGCTACAGAAAAGCTGAAACTTATGTGGAACTATCCTTAGGTAGTGTTGATTCTAAATTATTCAAATCATGACCCCCGGGGGTAAGGCGGGGCAACAGTATGGAATCAAAGTGGCCAAAAACTTAAACATCTTCTCAAGAACCACTGGTCCAGAAAAGATGAAACTTATGTGGAAGTATCCTTGGGTAGTATATATTCTAAATTGTTCAAATCATGACCCCAGGGGGAAGGACGGGGCAATAATAGGGAATCCAAGTTTTACATTGAAATATATAGGAAAAAACTTGAAAAATCTTCTTGGAACAACTGGACTAAAAAAGCTTAAACTTATGTGGAAACATCCTGGCGTAGTGTAGATTCTAAATTGCTTTCCATAGAATCATGACCCTTGAGGATTGTCAAGGTCAAGATAGGTATAACAAAGGGGGAAATTTGTTAAATTACAGAATGGTCAAAGTTACTCAAGTGAGCGATGTGACCATGGGCCTCTTGTTTTCGCCCGCTGTATTTTCGGGCTTTTAAACTTGCAAACAATTTTGCCCCGTCTTAAGTTCGTCCAGTCACATTTCTGTTTAAGAAAAATTGTCCTGTATTCTTTAAATTCCCTCCGTTTTAAATTCGCCTAACCAAAGGTAAGGCGAAAGGGGCGAAAATAAAACGGGGCGAAAATTTCCCCGTCTATGGAAATATAAAAAGTATACACTGGAAAAGAATGTTGGGCATAAATCCAGTGAAGATTCATGAATTAATGAGATTGTCTACTCATGGGGCATGGACATTTGCTTGATTACATTAGAGCGAACACATTCATCTATTAAAATCATAAACAGAGAAATTTCTCCCTCAACAATAATATCATTACAATCTACTTTGAATAATTAACCGATTCAGTCAAACAAATACACTTTGTCCGAACAACTTATTTGTCCAAATAAATATAATAATTCACTAAACGAATACCAAACAAATAGTACATATAGTCTCTACCTTAAACTCCTTAGTAGCATTGTAGAATTTTAATTATCAAAGTTTACTTGATCTTAACATAGACATAAATCGATTTATGTCTATGATCTTAATTCAATTAATTGGAAGGAATACATTAAAATGATGTCAGAAGTGGGTTTTTTTAACGTAATACAAGAATTATGTATGATATTTTCTTGACTTTGTTATCAAAAGCAAACTCATCTGAGACCCTAGCCATAGTGGTCGATTTTTTAAAACCCTACAAACACCAAGCTAATGACATTGCAGAATGATTGTCTGAATTTGATACAAGCTAAATTAAAAAAAACATATATAATAAATTTAAAAACATATGTAACATATCAGTTTCATATTTGGATATTTTATTTAAAAAATTAACGGTAATCTAACACGTCTAAGAACAACCATGATGATTTCAACTTTTCTGTCGCCAACTTATTCTCTTAGTTCCTTATCAACTGCATTTTGATTTTACGCCTCACGTTTAAGAGCTAGCGAGCACTATCGTATGAACGATTTCTAAAACGAAGGATGCTTCTGACAAACAAGTTAATGAAACAAGGACATCAAAGGTTTCATTTTTAAAATCATTATTTATCAAGTTCTAGAAGATGCGATGATCTTTTCAGTATATACAATCTATCATTATTTCAAATGCTGGCAAACGTTTTTCACACTTTTGTTAGGACATTTATTTTCACACTATTGTTAGGTCATTAATTCCAGACTGAATTGTCTACGGATTTTCCCGTTATTTCCCGATCATGACAAGAAGCACACGGCGGGTGTGACCGGTCGACAGGGATGCTTGTGTAGTTACCTACGACACAATGGTATTTTTTTTCACTGTTCAGTATATTTTGTATTTATTTCTCTGGCATTCGCCAAGACTAGCAGTGTTGTACAGAGTTCATCTGACGTTTCCAGGGCTTTTTTACGCGTTTTGTGATATTTTACGTACCAGTTTTCCTGGCACATAACATATCGAAATTGTGAAGAAAAAAATCATCTCGAGGCAAAGACCTCAGTGTATTAAATTAAATGGATACGTGGAATATTTTAAACCTTTTTTGTCAACAGGTGCCAGGGATCTTATTATTAATGTACCATAGTTTATGTATATTTTGAAAATAAAGTCTCGGGTCCTTTTTTGTGAAGAAAAATCTTATCTTTTTCTAGTTTAAAAATTCTATGCTTATTTGAATTCTATCTAGCTTGGAAAAATCAATTGAAAAGCTTATTCATAATTTTATTGAAGTCAATTTGATGTTTTGCATTAATCTTATAATACATTTGAAGCTGCTTACACATTATTTATTAGATATTGTTTACTGAAAAGGAGAGCAATAAAAGAGGAGGGGGGGGGGGGCTATTGCTTATCAGCGTTATGCTTTACGACCAAGCTAATTTGCAGTTTGGCCTCCTCAATAAATTATTGATAAATCCATAATTCTACCAAAACTATAAATTACCGGTAATCCTAAAAATCCGTTTTTTTATTACTTTATTTCATTTAATTTTGATATATTTAGTTTTATTACATTTTTTTTTTTTTTTTTTTTTTGCTTTTTCACAAAAGGAAATTCCTTGAAAGAGTCCAACTTGCATACTTTAGGCCTTTCAATAAAAAAAAAATCAAACAAAGGGACATAACTCGTCTATAAAGGAGGCATTCGAAAATACTCGGAAATATTGGTTCATTTGCGTATGAAAATGACAGAGTTTATTCCGAAGGAGAATCGGTTACCAAGGAAGTAGATTCTATTGTCAACAAAGAGTTACGGAGCGCGAAAGTGTGCGGACGGTGTAAAGGAGCAGAGATAGAAAATCGCAAAATACACAAGGAAGAGAACATCCAGACAGGTTTGGTCCATACAAACATGTTTAGTGTTGGGGCAAACTTTATTTATAAATGTAATTTATTTTCAGAAATCATAATACAAACCCATAACTTGTTATAATTCATTGGTTATCAACAACATACTGCAACATCCATGGAGCAATGCATGATACATCATATACATGAGCAGTAGAGCTGTGCTTGTCGGGCATACAAAATTTTCATGCACAGAAAAGGGAAGATAAGTACGTCAACATGCAGATTTACTATGTATCAGGTTCGACAAAAACTAGGCCTATAGAT